TAAAATTCAAAATAGGGCTGAGGATGTAGATCAGTGGTCACGTACCCCTGAGTTCAAGCCCCAGTACCAAAACAAACAACAACAACAAATATATATATATAAAACCAGAGACGCAGAGACGGGCTGGAGCCTGCCTGCCTGGGACCACATAGCTGTTAGTGGAAGTATTAGGACTTTCACGCTGATCCACTTTTCACACAGGGAAAAGTGCACAGACTGAGGTCAGAGAGATCCAGGTTCAAGTTCTGACCCACCCTGGTAGACACAGGACTGGGGACTTCACTGGCTTGTTTCCTCTGCTGTCAAGATGACGGTAGTAGCAGAGACAGCTGGCTGTCCACCACAGACCCCCACTGCCCTCCCAGAGGGTGAAACTGTGGCTGGCAGATGGCCTCCCGGCCAGGGACAGCAGACCTGAGCAGATCAGCAGACCGCAGCCCCGGGCAGCCGGTCGTGCTGTCCCTACTCTGGCTGCCCTCTGGCTACAGGCTGAGGGGCTACTGAGGCACAGCCACAGTTCACAAAGTCTAAACTACTTATTATCTGGCCCTTCACAGGAAGTGGCCCTAAAGGAAGGTGGGGTCACACATGGGGGAAGCCGCATGACTTGCTGGCGAGTGGAGGTGGAGCTCCCCTGCGAAAACCACGGAGTACAGGTCTGTGCTGTGGAGGCTGGTCACCGTGCAGCCGCAGTGTCCGCTGCAAAGCTGTGTACCAGACTGCCCCATCCTCGACAGCCTCTCAGCAAGTGTCCCTGCACTGAGCTGCCTACCTACTCCACGGGAGGACTCTCATCTGTGGCGAACCAAGGGCGAGTGTGTTCAGGGGTCAGTGCCTAATCAGACCCTGAGTGGACAGGTGGTCGCTGGGCCTGAGCCCCTGGGAACAGCACTCCTCTGAGACTGAGGCAGGACTCAGAGGCAGCCCCAGGGGAATGTCTGCGTGCAGCCTGTGGACAACACCAAGCACAGACAGAGGGAAACTTGGGTGGACAAGGAGCTGGGCTGTGTCTGGGGAGGGCACTGCTCAGTTTCTGGGAGGGGGCTTGGAGTGAGCAGCCGAGACCTGCAGGACCGTGAACTGGCTAAACGTAGTGTTCCTGTGCCCATCATGCCCTCCTGCAGCCCCCGCCCATGGTGGGGGTAGGAGGGAATGGAGGGGTGCCGATGAGCAGCTGGCCCTGGAAGCCAGACAACGAGACTGATCTGCACAGAAGCAGGACAAACCTCCTATGGCTCCCAGGGGCCCCTAGGTTTCCCCTCCTAGCTTCTGGGAATAAGGGAGACCGTCTGTTTAGAAGTCAGCCTAGAGGTGCCCAATGTGACTACAGATCCACAGACCTCTGGGCCAGGACCCTGGGTTCAGTCCAAAGACAGGCAAAATAAGTGGGTCAGTGGCCAGGTCTGCTCAGCACAGCCAAAGCCAGCAGACACAGCCACAGCACGGGGAGCCGGAGAAGCCAAGGCCAGGGCTGTCCGTATGAGTGAGCAAAGAACGAGTTCCCGCCCAGGACAGCGACTCCTATCCCGGTTCTCTACCCAGAGCACCCGTCAGCTCTGCCCCGCGAAGGTTCTGCCTGATTGGAAGAAGCCCAGTTCTGCACCCTACCAGTGCCTCAGCTGCTGTACATACACACCATGCTCTGTTGCTGTGGGAGGAAAGCGTCCTGCCCCCTCCGGGCCTGAAAGGCTTGCTTCTGTCTTACTTAGGGCTGGGACAAAGAACCTCGGAGAACTAGGCTGAGCCACCGGGACAGCCAACTCTCTCCCCTTTGGCCAGAGGCCTCTGTGGTGCGGTCAGCATCATACCCACCCCTCTCAGCACAGCTGACCACTCCAGAGACCCTCTCCAGACCACAGTGTCTGTGGGTATAAAGTGAGCATTGGTGAGCATCCACGGAGTGGGCTGGGCTGCGATACTGACCACAGCAGTCACCGTGAGCCAGGGACAGAGCACCACAGTGTCTGGAGGATCCTGTCCCTCAGAGCGAAAGTGGATTAGCTCTAGTGCCCAGCTGCCAACACTCTAATGCCAGCTGCATGGACACTCAGGCGCCCCGATGCAGTGAACGCCAGCACAGATCTTGTTTTGGCAGCTGAAGTGATGTCGGCAGGAGGCGGGAGGGCTGCACTGCAGTGTGGACTAATGATGTGTAAGGACTGAGGCCTTTGGCTGCAGACACCAGGTGAACAGTGGTTGCCGGGCAAGCTGTGCACAGGGCACACACTTCCCACAGTGGGCCAGGGGTGCTGTGTACACAGCAAACCCAGGAGAGAAACATTAACTAAATCGCAAGATCCGGATCATCTGTCTTATCGGGGCTTTGGGGAAAGTTTATCTTGCAAACAGGCCACCTGTTCTCCTTGTAAAATGATGTGGGCTGTTAGCATGTTATCCGTGCTCGGATGACATTCCACTGAAGAGCAGGAGCCTGGCCGGGGGGGTGGGTGGGGTGGGGGGGGCAGGCCCAGAAGGTCACCGGTTCTCAGAGAGGGCATCCTGCACTGTAGGGCTCACAGATTTCCCCCTGGCATCTATGGAGCCTCAAGTTCCGTCAGGCAGCGGCCTCTGTCTGTTGGGCACATATCTGTCAAGGAAACTGTTTTAATTTGCCATGAATGTTTCCAAACTCCTTTCTTGTAGATGAAAGTGTTACCATCTCATCTGGCTTCTGCCAGACTGAGTGGCAAGTGTATTTAGGGGAGTGTCCTGCTCCCTGGGAATGATGAATGAAAAACACTTTACATAATCCCTTGGCCCACACCAGAACCTTCCCCGCTGGGACTGCTTCTGATGAACAGGAGGCCTCCGAGGAGGCTCAGGATCTGGGGGGATTACCTTAGGAAATTCAGGCCAAAGGGAAGACTTAGTATTCTCTGGAATTCTGTCACAGTACGGGATAGCTAGGTCAAATGGTGGTTCCATTCCCAATTTTCCAAGGAATCTCCTCCATACTGCTGTCCATATTGGCTGCACCAATTTGCAGTCCCACCAGCAGTGTATGAGTGTGCCTTTTCCCCACATGCTCCCCAACACTTAGATTGTCTTCATAATAGCTGCCATTCTGACTAGAGTGAGATGGTATCTTAGAGTAGTTTTGATTTGCATTTATCTAATTGCTAGAGACGATGAACATTTTTTCATATTTGTTGATTGATTGAATATCCTCTTCTGAGAAGTGTCTGTTCATGTCTTTGGCCCATTTATTGATTGGGTTATTTGGTCTTTTGGTGTTTAGTTTTATGAGTTCTTTATATGCCCTAGAGTTCAGTGCTCTATCTGATGTGTGAAGGGTAAAAATTTACTCCCGGGGTATAGGCTCTCTATTCACCTCACAGATTGTTTCTTTTGCTGAGAAGAAACTTTTTAGTTTGAGTCCATCCCTTTTATTGATTCTTCATTTTAATTCTTGTGCTATAGGAGTCTTATTAAGGACATTGGGGCCTAATCCCACATGATGGAGATTAGGACCTACTTTTTCTTCTATTAGACGCAGGGTCTCTGGTTGTATTCCTAAGTCCTTGATCCATTTTGAGTTTTGTGCATGGTGAGAGATAAGGGCTTAATTTCATTTTGTTGCATATGGATTTCCAGTTTTCCCAGCACCATTTGTTGAAGAGGTTTTCTTTTCTCCAATGCATGTTTTTGGCGCCTTTGTCTAATATAAGATAACTGTAGTTTTGTGGTTTAGTCTCTGTGTTCTCTATTCTGTACCCTTGGTCTACCAGTCTGTTTTGGTGCCAATACCATGCTATTTTTGTTACTATTGCTCTGTAGTATAGTTTAAGGTCTTGTATAGCAACCTGCTTCCCTCTTCCTGCTAAGAATTGCTCTAGCTATTCTGGGTCTCTTATTTTTCCAGATGAACTTCATGATTGCTTTAAGGAAACTATTAGACTGAAAAATGCAAAACATCTTTATAATACTGGATTAATGAGGCTACAAATAAATAGGCACTTTCATACAATGGAAGGGTATGTTATTTATACCTATGGAGGATAATTTGGCAACATCTATAGTATTACATATCCTCTGACCCATTAATTTCACCCCTGGAGTTGATTCTAAAGATATGTGCAGAATAACGCACATGCTGCGTGTTTCACATAACATCATCTGTTACAGCCAAAGATGTTGAATAATTCAGAGTCCGCGAATAAGAAACAGCCGTGCAACAAGCTCTCCATGGGCTAAAATGGGAGGCTCTCCCAAAAACACTATTTATCAGAAGAGCAAAGCTTAGTACAGATATTATAAACATATAGCATATACAGCATGCTATCACTTTTTTGTTCCGGGGAGTGAACCCAGGGACATTTTATCTGTGAGCTACATCCTCAGTTCTCCTTCTTCTTATTATTATTATTTTAAGAAAGATCTCACTAAGTTGCTAAAGTTGCTCACTAAGTTATGGAGTTGGTCTTGAACTCACAATCCTCCTGTCTCAGCCTCTTGAGTTGCTGGGATTACAGATGTGCGCCACCACGCCTGACTCATACTTATATTAGGAAACTCATATTCCTAATATATAAAAGTTTCTAGAAATAAATAAGAAAGAATTTCTTACAGAGAGCAATGCAGAAAAAGTGGGAAGGGCTAGGGTTATAGATCAGTGGTAGAGTGCTTGCTTCACATGCATGAGGTCCTGGGTTTGATCCTCAGCACCACATAAAAATAAATAAGTAAAAATAAAGATATTTTGTCCATCTACAATTTAAAAAAATTTTTAAAAAGTGGGAAGAGGAAGACATATGTAAAACAGACTTTATACTAAACATCTTTGAGTGTGTGTATGTGTGTTTTACTTCTGAGCCATGTGAATTATAACTCAGTTACAAATTATATTAAATTTTAGAGAATAAAAATCATGTTTTTCATTGAAACTACACTTTTTTTTAAGCTTGAGGCCTTATATAATAAATACTACTTTCTAGCTAGACAGTCTCCCTTTGATTTCATAGACCAATTATTTTGGTACTGTGGACAACAAAAAAGTAACTAAGTATTAGGTGGTGTGTATTTATCAATGGTCAAGTCAACAGAAACAACCTTGTCACAGTCACAGGCTCCTTCCCTCACCGTATGATTCTCCGTTTCCTCTCTTACTCTGTCCACCTCACTACTTATGACTGTGCAGGCTGCTTCAAAGCCATTTCTTGGAAACTTGTGTTCAGTCATTTCCTGCGGCAGCTCCTGAAGCCGCTTCCTTGTGACAGTCCCCAGGAGGTGAAACCGTCCTGCACAAGAAGAGTGAGGCTGGAATTGCTGAGGCTGGCTTCACACGGCAGGCCCAGGGAGGGAGCGTGGCTTACAGCCACAGGCTGAGAATGCACAGTGGCCAAGAGCATGGGGGGCTTCGTCTGGGGACGCCAACCTCCTGCCCTGGGAGCCCAACAGGCTCGTGACGATGACATCTGCACATCTTGGAGGAGTGGAAAGGAGCACTTTTTCCACCTGCCGCACTGCTGCCTGCCAGCGCTGCTGTAGCCTGGCCACTTGCAGCTTGCCCAGTACTTTCCTGGAACCAGAAAGCAGCCACACAAGAAAGTGACCAGGGACTGGGGCAGCTTAGCGAATCCCCAGCAGAGGGGGGCTCTGAGTCTTCCGTGCATAGTGTGCTGTGTCTCCTGGATCCAGCCCCGCCCAGGGCTGATCTGCAGCCCAGCCTCTGGGCCAGGCCCTGCCAACCCCAGCCTGCCTCCTGGGATTCCCTTGAGGACCGATCCTGTTCTGTGTGCGATGAGATGGCATGAATGGCATAAGGTAGCTCCTGTCTCTGCAGTTACAAGGATAACACTGCTGCCTGTTCCTTGAGCCATCTTACCTGTAGCTTTGGTGGGCCCCTGCTCCTATAGCTGCAGTGTCCCATCCTTGCCAGGGACCCTGCTTCAACCCCCTCTCTTGGCTGGAAAGAAGCCTGGCTGGGGCGCCTGAGAGCCTCTCCCCCTGCTCCCTGCTCCTGCAGCTCCTGCCAGCTCCCCAGCCCGTGGCTATGCCTGCTGGGGCCTTGAGGCCACGTCCTGGCCCTGAACCTACTACCTGCCAGCTCCCACGGGCACTGCAGACCAGACATCTCTGGACTTGGAGAGCTGAGCGGAGCTGCCCTTGAGATCATGGTGCGCTGGTCAGAGCGGGTGGGGCGGGAGATGGTGGAGTTGAAAAGGGACCCTCACCTGAGGTGGAGCTCGCCCAGACTGCAAGTTCATAGGCTGAAGCGAAGTAAATGTGGAAGCTCTTCCTTCCTTTGCTTCCCCAGGGAAGCCCGAAGGAACCCGAACACATCTGACTCGGGGGATACGAAGGGAAGGGGCAGCCAACAAGGACAGGGATGCAGGCATTCTCATCTCAAACTCCACCCCAGGACACCTGGTGGTGACGGCCACTGAGCACCACACTTGGGGCAGCAAGGCCACAGCACATGCACTCTGAGTGCAGTGACAGTGGTCAGAACTTGGAGTCCACTGCTGTGGGAAAGCTGACGCCTCGGGACTCCAGGTGGGCAGCATGGGGTGTCACAGGTTGGGTTGTCCTGCGAGGTCTGCGTTTTGGCCACTGGGGAGCTCACATGTGCTTGCCAGGAGCAGGCAGAGGCAGGGGAGTGCTAGGGCCTGGGGCAAAGGCCGGAAAGAGGGCCAGGAGGGCAGGAGCAGGGGAAGCAGCGGTGTGTGTCCTCCGTATGGCCACACTGGATGTCCCTGCACCACCTGGATGGGACCAAGTGTGAACAGTGGCATTCCCACCATCTGTCTGCCTGCGGTGTGGCGCCTCCAAGGCACTCTGAGGGACGGTCTCACACCTCCTGCTTCTCACCACCAGGCAGCACACAGCAGCCGCACACCTCGCACACACAGGCCAACGTCCTGCTGATTCATCGGGTGGGTTCACCATCACCCCAGTCCCAAATCCCCGTCTGCAGGCATGACGGGCCAGACGAGCGCCAGCCTCAGCCCTCTTTCTACCTGCAAGCTGTGGCATTAGTGCCCCCTTGAGATCAAGTCCCAAGATGGAAAGGAGCACGTGACCCAGCAGGGCACTAGGCCTCTGAGAGGCGGCCCACGAGGCTTTGCTCCTGTGTGGCCACTTAGAGCAGCTGTCCCACGTGAAAAGCGAGAGCCAACGTGTCTCAGGAGAGGCGCACCAGGGTGCAGTCTGGCCACTCAGCTGTGTGAGTGCGCAAAGCAGGTCCCAAGGCCTCTTCAATAAACCACGAGGGCAGGTGGGCTGCAAACAGCCAGACCCAGGGGCTCTTGCCCGCCACAACACCGGGCAGGCCCTGCCCTCTGCTTTGACAGCACCTCCTGGGCCCTGCCGCCACGGCAATGGCTCCAGCTTGGCCCCCAGCCAGTCCAGTGGGATGGCCCTGCTCTCCACGGCCTGGCAACGGACGCCGGTCACTTTCTTGTCTTCATTTTGCATCTGTGAAGAGGGTTACTGTGGTCTCCTCCACAGGTGGTCAGCAGGACGTACTGGATAGAACGCTTCGGGGTGACCCCGGGCCACAGCCCCACCAGTGTGGTCATCGTCATCAGAGGCAGGCGCAGCAAGGTACCCGAGCTCAGGGGCTGAGTAGGAGGGGGAGCCAGAGTCACTGGGTGCAGCGGCACTCCACGAAGGAGAGGAGACGACGTCCAGCACTCTCGCTGCCTCCCAGGGCAACGAGTTCTAGGTTTTCTATGCCTAAGTTTCTGCCTCTTAATGTGGAGTTAATAATACTGTCTCTCAGGGGTACTCACAGATGAGAGCAATTACCAACTGCAAAGTGCTTTGAAAATAAATGAGCTTACTCTAAGGGTGGTATTTAATGTTTATAATGATAAGTCTGCTTACAGAGTCACAAACTATAATCATTGGTACAAGGCTTAGTTTTACGACTGGCTTTTTTTGAACTTAGCATAAAATATTTTTATTTTAAAGTAATTAAATGATGTGTCAGAAATACTTCCTGCATCCATCTAGAGTCTTGTCTGGAAAAACCTAAGATGTGACCATAGCTCTATTTTAGACAGAGTCCAGTTAACTCAGTGCCTAGCAAATCCAGCAGCAACAAATTATAGGAAGACCACAACTGAGGTCTCTAACACTTGGACACTGAGGGCAAGAGTGACGTATTTTTGCTAAAAATTATTGAGTGTTCTATGAACCAAAGCCCAGCCACTCCCTTCTACCCAGTGTAGAGAATGTGCCTGGCAGCCTATACAGCCATACACAAACAGGCCCTCACAGGCCCTCACAAGGCCTCAGGCCCTTCTCCGCGGCAGGGCTGGCAGGTTTATTGCGAGGCCCAGGTGCCAATTCAGTCTGTGCTTCGGGAAGATGAATTGTTGAACCCTGCAGTCCTCCTCTTCAGGAGCCTGACCTGGTTCCTCTGAGCAACGGGCCTCCCTGTGCACTCCTGAGCTGCAGATGAATTTTGCAGAGGGGGATGATCTTACGGTCGTAGTCCCGAACCTCCCTGGTCCCGTGAATGCTATGGCCACGCTGCTGCCATCTCCACGGGGCTGTTTTGCACTGTTTTCTCATAGAGATGGACGTCTGTGGACACATCTGTGTTTGTCTTTCATCAAGACATACATAGATGAATGGGTATCTTATTTATCAGGTGAGGGTAATGTTCTGTGGTCCTCATTCTGGGCCAACAGTTTCACTTTCTCCATCCAATGGAGCCTTAGTTCTATTTGCAGCCAAAGGAAAAAAGGAAAAAAAAAAATGTATTCCCCTGAACTCATGGTCCCAGAACACAGGCAGCCTTCCCTCTTGTGCAGCTGGAGGAGCGCTCTTGCTTGCTACCCAAGAGACTGCCGAACACAGAGCGCCACCCTGTGTCTTCTCGAGGAAAGGCACCGTAATACAAGAATCCAAAGCTTGTCCATGACAATAGCTGCTTATCCAACTGCTGAAGAAGCAGAACGAAAAGTGGGTCCTCCCTGGCATCCTATTTATTCAGCACACAGACAATGCCACACGATCGGCTGCATTTCCACTGGCAACCCTAGATACAGCCTTCTGCAAATGCCCGGCTTGGAGGGCTGTGGGCTACCAAGAGCGCTGCCATACACACCAATGGTTCAGACCACAGTTCAGAGGGGACTTCCTGCCTGGACCAAAGTTATTTTTGGCTGGGACATGAGATGCACTGGAGCCGGCAGCCAGTCTCTCACCAGTTCACTTACAGAGCTGTGCAGAGGCCAAGGAAGGGGAGACCAGTGCAAAGGGTACTTTTGTTGCATTAAGAAAAATACAGCAACCAACAAGCCCAACTCGAATGGAATCAGCCCAAGTCAGCTCTCCTCCAGCCCAGTGGCATGACCAGGAGCTCGAGGTCAGCAACTGGCCAAAGCGTTCCCAAGCTCACCTCACTGTACCCTCACGTCAGCACTGTCAGGCAGCAATGTCACTGCCACGCTTCACAGGCAAGGCACCCTTGTGGCAGTAGCTGAGTGTCTCGCCGTCAACCTGCTGACTTGACCAGCAGGGTCTTCCCCAGCACATCCAGCCTGGGAGCCTGTGGCAAATACCACTGCTTTCCTTCTGCCAGGTCTGACAGGCCTCCTCTCCTGGCGGCCTCCGTGCCTCCATTTCCCTAGCAGGCTCACTCTGGAAAGGCTGGCATTTTTTGGTGGCAGTGCAGATTCCCTCAAGGCTTGTGGGAAGGACTCACTTGATGGGACCCAGGAAAGGCTCTCCAGTCAGGGTGAATGCAGGCACCTTTGGGCTCAGGGTATGCCTCCTTCTGGCACCTGGCACCCATCTGCAAGACTGGCCTCCCAGCAGCGGCCCTTCCTGCTCCCCAGGAGGAATGCCCTGAGGTGATGTGCACTCAGGGGCCCTCCTGGGGAAGCCACACCAAGGTGTTCTGAGAGTCTACATGCTAAGAACAGGCTCTGGGCAATGGCTTGTTTTTGGTAGGGGTGGGAAGGAGTCTGGTAGTTTTTTTAGAGTTATTTGAGTAAAGCAGACCCCAAGTGTGTACACTTGAGTCTACTGCTCTTCGTAGCACTGGCCAGACACTGCCCTCCATCTACCCGAGCAGTGGCACTGACAGCCGAGCTACTCGGGCTGGGCCTTCCTTGTCTCTGCACCCAGCCTGGCTCAGTGCCTGCAGCACTCTCAGCAACAGTCGTTAGGGTAAAAGGAAACTGGGCATGCACCCTCCGCTTGTTGCTCCTCTCTGATGAGTACAGCAGGAGTGAGCGACAGTCCTCCCTGCCCTGGCCTGATGGGGCCTTACCCACTCCACCTGTGTGTGTTCAGTGTGATGGACGGCAAAGCCTCGACTCTTGCCTATAAACACTCTGTCTAAAATGATAAAAATGCCAAAAGTGTATCTCTTCCTTAGAGGAAAATGACAGCCAATGCAAAAACCCGTCATCTAAAAGTAACACAGCAGGCACAGGCAAGAATTAGCTGCAGTTGCTGAAAACTTGGAGGAAGGGTAAGGTATTCATGTGGATTCAGGTACTGAACCACATCCTACTTTCTAACTTCAAAAGGAAAAGATGGCTTTCAGTTCATGACTCTGGCCTCAACCTCCTCTTCAAATGGAAACCAAGCTTCACACCATACTCATGGAGCAGAGTGACAACACATGCCTCCTGTTGTGATGTGTCCAGCATAACAGGTATCCAATAGGCACGTCGTGTGTCCCTGAGGTGACACACGAGGCCACAAAACCACATACGTGCATAGTGTGTCTAAGGTGATGCATGAGGCCACACAACCACATACATGGATCACACATCCAAGGTGACACACTGAGGACACAGAACCACGTATGTGGATCACATGTCTAAAGTGACACATGAGAATACAGCACCATATACGTGGATCACATATCCCTGAGCTGACGCACTAAGGACACAGCACCATGTATGTGGACCACGTGTCCCTGAACTGACACACTGAGGACACAGAACCACATACGTGGATCATGTGTCCCTCTGCTGATGCACCAAGGACACAGCACCACGTATGTGGACCACGTGTCCCTGAGCTGACACACAGAAGATACAGAACCACATACGTGGATCACATATCCCTGTGCTGATGCACCGAAGATACAGCACCATGTATGTGGACCACGTGTCCCTGAGCTGATGCACCGAGGACATGGCACCATGTACGTGAATCACGTGTGTCTGAGCTGATGCACCGAGGACACAGAACCACGTATATGAATCACGCGTCTAAGGTGACACGTGAGAACATAGCACCATATATGTGGATCACGAATCCCTGAGCTGACACTGAGGACACAGAATCACGTACGTATGTCATGGATCCAAGGTGACGCACAAGGACATGAAGGTCACACCAGCCACAGTGGGTACCCACAGCAGCACAGGTACTGCTGTGGACTATATTTTGCTGCTGTGTAGTAGAAGCAGCAGGAACAGCCTGCAGGCATGACCCAGCACTAAAGAAAACCTGTCACATGTGGGGCCACTGCAGAGATACCCACAGCAATAGGCTCCATCACACATCCCACCAGTTCCCAGGACCTCCCAAAAAAGAACATCTAGCAGCCCTCTTCCTTCCTCTGTAGTAGCCATGATCTCTCCTGCCAGGTTCCTACGAAAGAGGGCCAGGGATTCTCAGGCTTCCAAGAAGTTCCAGAGACATCCGTGAGCAGCTGCTGCTGAGGCCAGGTGGCAAGCTCGGCTCACGGCAGCCTCAGCTGGCCTGGCTCAGTACTACCTCCTCAGAGCCCAAGTGCAGGGCTGTATCAGATCTAGAGATTGGGAGAACCCCACACTGGCTTTCTGACCCACCAAGACAGGTCTAGAAGAGAAACAGTGGAAAGGCCTCTCCCCTCCAAATTGCAAATCCAAAAGCAATACAGCCCTACCAGCAGGATTTCAGAGCTTAGTTACAGGACCTGTTCTTTAACCTGTGCAGAAAATAGATGGATCTGGGTGACCATGGACTGTCGCCCACTCAATTACAGCACACAGCAGAGGTTTTTCTCTGTGCTGCCAACCTACCAGGAGTAGTCTGGAGACAGCAGCATAGCTCAGTGGCCGGAGGTAGGGCTTGACTACCTCTCAGTTCTTCAGAAACAGCCAGAACTCAGGACCCTGTCTTGCCACTGCAAGGGCATCATGGGGATGGTCCCCTGGAGCAATATCCATAGCAAACACAGAACACCCTGAATATCTTGCAAAAGACAGACTCCAGAGATGGGACACAGACCTCCCCAAAGGGCAGAGGGTGCTACCTAGAAGCTGCCAGTGACCTGGGAATGTTTGGACATATTCTCCAAGAGGAAGGACAATTGCCTCATCGTGTATCCACAAGCACCAAACAAGAGGCAAGACCTTCCCAGATGCCTGGACCACTTTGCAGGGAAGCCTGGGAGCAACGGCTGATTCTTCTCTCCTCCAACCCTTCAGTTCCTGTACTAAGCAGACCTCAGCTAGGAACATGGAAGGGGCTGTGCTTCATGCCAGATCCTGACCAGACCTGCTGCCCAGCACCCAGCCTCACCACCCACCCCACCATCCAGGAGCCCCTTCCTCAGTGCTTGCCCATGAGCTGAGGACTGCATCAACGGGCCCACACCTGTCAGCCCTCACCTGACCTCTCCAACCAACCAGCTGTAGGCTGTTAAGAGCAGGTGCAGGCCACGCAGAGTGCAGCCACATGC